TCTCCCTAGGACTACGGTCACGTTAGGTATAGGTTCTGCAAATTTTGGATCATCCGTGACAGCTGAAATCAAAAAAATAATATTAGGGAGTGTACAACAACAACCGAACCGAAGATTACCAAAACGTTGAAAAACGTACAAAACCAAACCTTGAAAATGATAGCATTGTCTTGTTTAACGTTGCTGAGATCACGCGGTTACAAAAGCACCATCAACCAGACATGACGGCAGACCGATAGATAGACCGCTAGAAATAAGTCACATGAATTTTTGCAATGGTCGGAAAACATCCATAAAAGAGTACCTAAAATTTGACTAGAATAGCATCTCTCTATACATATACTAAGTGACATATAAATCCGAACACCCAGTTTAAATGGTTTTATTTTAATAAAATTTTGTATAAGTACTTAATGAAGCATAATAAGTAAATGATAAAAATTTCAAAATGATTGCACTGCTTTAAAGCCCTTTGACCTTTAATAATGTGTGGATGCACCCTGATGTGCTACGCATTCTCCAACGCGCCTAGGCATGCTTCTGATCAGGTGGTCAATGTCCTCCTGTGGTATCTCATTCCAGGCAACCACCACCTCCTCTCGAAGTGCTTCTAGAGTCTGAGGAGGACGCTGCAAATTGAGCAATCTCCTACCCATCACATCCCACACGTGCTCAATTGGGGATAAGTCGGGAGATCTTGGTGGCCATGATAACAATGTGACATCATTATGTTGAAAGAAGTCTATTGTGACTCTTGCAACATGTGGTCGGGCATTATCTTGTTGGAAAGCTGGATCTGCCAGGGTGTCAAGATAGGGTAAAAGATGGGGTTCTAGAGCTTCGTGGATATAACGCTGCGCGTTCATGTTACCTCTGATGAAGATTAAAGGTGACCTGGAACCATAAGCTATAGCACCCCAAAACATAACTCCAACAGTGTGATGAACATGTCTTTCAACAAACAACTGTGGATTCCTCCTTTCACCACGTCGCCTTCTAACCCTGGCACGACCACCGTGCATGCCTAAACAAAATCGAGACTCGTCACTAAAGACAATACTGTTCCATTCCTGATCCCAGAGTGACCGTTGTCTGCACCACTCAAGGCGATTACGTCGGTGTTCTCGAGTTAAAGGGAGGACCCAGTGTGGCCGGTATGAAAACAAGCCAAAACTTCTCATTCGTCGGTAAACACTTTGTATGCCAATAGGTCTTCCGTGTTTTGCAAACCATTCATTTGCAATGGACCTGGTAGTGGAGAAACGGTCCCTTAAGGCCAATAATCTTAGGCGGCGATCTTCACGGTCTGTTGTTCTACGGCGGCGTCCAGTGCCCCTTGCTCTTTGCCTACGGCCTTCTCGAAGCCATGCCTGACAACACCTAACCACAGGGTCTACACTTCTTTGCACTCTAACTGCAATTGCCCGAAAAGAAAGTCCAGCTTCCCGAAGTCCCACTATACGGCCCCTATCAAACTCACTAAGTTGACGAAATCGTACAGGTCTCCGTACTCTAGGCATCGTAACCGATCGTAAAGGATGTCAAGAACCAAAATCCGCCAACGTTGATTCTTTACTGCGGCTGAAATATTCATTTTTAGAGCGTTAGTGAATTAAAAAAAAGCAGCATAAAAACCGGAATGTCCAACCGATAAGGCTGAACATTTTTTCACTTGTTATTTACAGTAAGATAAATACATTCACCAACTTTTATTAAAATAAAACCATTTAAACTGGGTGTTCGGATTTATATGTTACTTAGTATAGTTTGATCCCACTTGATTTCATTTTAACAGCAAAACGAACATGGATATGAACCGTATCGCGTACGGCGAATTAGTATCTAAATCTAGGTTGCATCGGCTAGAACGTTTCATCCGCTTTGTCGTGAAGCATTTAGTCTTCCGTTGCCAAGCAACAAGTGGTTTTAATTCATATCCCTAGCACTTACAGCAGATTGCACCAGATCATATCGATTTCCCTCCATTTTAGCACATTAACCCTGACGTAGACAGATGAGATATCGCTATATATAGCGCACTGTGGTTATATCAGAAGGCAATTTTGCTAGTCATACTTTAAACATGTCGGGTTATCCGTTACGGGATGCATGGTCTCACGTTCACATGTAATCACGGTATCCGCAAGAACCAAGGAAGTCGGATATATTAGGAAATTCAAAGAGCGACGAAAAAAAACGAATTTTGGAAAGAACGTTTCAACGTTTTCCTGACTTTATTTATAGTTGGCTTTTAAAATAAATTGCACTTTGACATCGTCACCTTTTCTCGTCTACAGGATAGCATAACTCGAATTGCAACGTGACGCTAAAAATTACATTTAAATACAGGGTGTTTCAGTTTATTGTTGTTAACTTTAAGATTCGATAGAACTTTTAAAATTAATGCATAAAGTCTATATAAACATGGGTCGAAAAATGCGTGGCTTCCACCATGGTTCGTTTTGTCGTACCAAAAAACCCTTGTATACCAATTTCCACTGTTATACATCAAATATTGTTCGAAATATTAAAAAAAAAACTATTTTAGAAAGTAAATTTAAACACCCTGTATTTCGGAAGCCACGCATTTTTCGACCCATGTTTATATAGACTTTATGCATTAATTTTAACAGTTCTATCGAATCTTAAAGCTATGCAACAATAAACTGAAACACCCCGTATACATAATTCCATGTGAAAACAACACTTCTCCCTAATCAATCCGTAATGCCTTGTAAGTGACTAAAAATCAGCAAAAATCACCCGACAATCGAACACAATCAAAGCCCAAGCCGTTAGATATTAATTGTGAGCTACATAATGCCGAAAAGCTCTATTTTCGTAATATCAGCCCGAACTTGGCATGAATCGGAAAGTTAGCGGAAATATTGGCCACCTACGATCCCGAGTTCGGATTTACGAGAGAAATTTCCTCGGCAAAAATTTATTGCTCCGAAGTTTGAGTATCTATGAGACAGTTCAAAGGGAATAAGGATGAGGGCTTTGTCTTTGCCTGGCAGAATCCGATAGAAAATTGCATGAACGATGATGGCGGGTGGAAAGTACTGAAATTGAGCGAATTTTGAAGCACGTTGGTAGAATACGGCACGAAGCATACGGAATTGGCTGAGTTTTCAGTATAGCAGTAATTTATTTACTCCATTATATACGAGCAATAACATCGCAGAAATAAAAGTTTCAATCCACAGAAGGACACTGCCTGCACGTGGATCAGTTGTATGCTGGAATGTGTTCAGAGATCAAATCAAAAAAGTTAAAAGAAACTTAAAGAAAAACTTACATCAAAGAGTTGTAAAGGGTGGGCGATCAGTTGTTTTTTTTTAGTTGGTATTATTTTGACAGTTGGTAATACTTCCATGCTCAACATATTAACAGATAGTAGAGTAAGGGCCGATTTCACCAACATTAATATTATGGACCAATGGGAAGTGCAATTTGACAGAAGCTGTCAAAGGTCTCAGATTATTAGTGATTTCTATTGAAATATTGAATAAAATCGTGAAAATTCGACTGTATTATAAACACGCACCACTTTTTGATTCCAACATGATGCTTTTGTACAGAAAACACAGGACAACTTTCATGTATTTTGATATATGTTATAGGTTTACATTTAACAATCCGTTATCCTCTTCAGCGAATGGGAATGCGGCAAATAATAGTTCGATTTTCTACTTGTTAAATTTGGCAGCAGATTTGGACGTTTGTTAATGCATGGCACTCTCGAATTTACCAACTTCAATATACTGAAAGTTATCATTACATACCTGTTGAATAGTGTGGATTTCTCTGTATTTTGCAAGAAAATAGAATATAAAATACATTCCATCCAATTCCTCATCTTTCTTTACGTCATAACAGTAATCATTTATTAATTTATGGGTTAATGAATTTTTTCAAAGCAATAAAAACATGTCCTCTCCATCCTAAAACACAGATAATATGTGTAAGACGTGTCAATCCCTACATCTCCCTGATGCATAATGCAACTACTATGGACATAGACAAAAAATTATGAAAAATGTTTCACAAATAATGTCTTTTAAGTCCAAAAATCATCAAAACTAGTATTTATTGTTTGTGTTGTTGACTGGCGGTCGTTGACTGGCGGGGATATCTATCTGTCACTCACAGGGTTGCCAAGTCTAACGACGATCACGTCCGGTGATGGAGGGTGCGAAATTAATCTTTTACATTTGCTGGTTTTGAATTTTTTTCGTGAAAATTTACTAGGTATCATGATTATATGCATCTTTGGTAGATTGTTCGATCCGGAATGGGAAAGATCTCCTATTTATGAAAATACGGTAAACGGGGAGCGCTATAGAGACATGTGAGGATTTTTTGTGGCCAGTATTAGACGACATACACTTGCACAATCTCTGTTTCCAGCAGGATGACGCAACATGCCACACCAGCCATGAAACAATCGATCTTTTAAACACTAAATTCGGTCAACGCGTTATCAGCCGATTTGGAGACTTTCATTGGCTGTGATTTAACGCCCATGGATTACTTCCTATGGGATACTGTTAAGGACCGCTGTTACAGTAACAATCCTCAAACAATTGACATTATTAAGGAAAATGTCTGTCGAGCTATTGATGAAATAGACCCACAAACTATCGAAAATGTGCTTCAAAATTGGGTTGAGAGGATGGATGTGTATATCATTCAAACAGATATAAAATAAAAGAGGGCCTAACACTGTACCCTGGGGTACACCACATTTCCTTAATGTATGTTTTTGGGTAAAATATTTCGTTTCGCCAACACGAGTGGTTGGCATCTTCAGGAGGTGTTCACAGATCGGAGTCCTATGAGCTACTGCAAAAATGTATACTAAGTGACATATAAATCCGAACACCCAGTTTAAATGGTTTTATTTTAATAAAATTTTGTATAAGTACTTAATGAAGCATAATAAGTAAATGATAAAAATTTCAAAATGATTGCACTGCTTTAAAGCCCTTTGACCTTTAATAATGTGTGGATGCACCCTGATGTGCTACGCATTCTCCAACGCGCCTAGGCATGCTTCTGATCAGGTGGTCAATGTCCTCCTGTGGTATCCCATTCCAGGCAACCACCAACTCCTCTCAAAGTGCTTCTAGAGTCTGCTCAATTGGGGATAAATCGGGAGATCTTCGTGGCCATGGTAACAATGTGTCATCATTATGTTGAAAGAAGTCTATTGTGACTCTTGCAACATGTGGTCGGGCATTATCTTGTTGGAAAGTTGGATCTGCCAGGGTGTCAAGATAGGGTAAAAGATGGGGTTCTAGAACTTCGTGGATATACGCCACGCGTTCATGTTACCTCTGATAAAGATTAAAGGTGACCTTGAACCATAAGCTATAGCACCCCAAACCATAACTCCAACAGTGTGATGAACATGTCTTTCAACAAAAACCGGGGGATTCCTCCTTTCACCACGTCGCCTTCTAACCCTGGCACGACCAACGTGCATGCCTAACTAAAATCGAGACTCGTCACTAAAGACAATACTGTTCCATTCCTGATCCCAGAGTGACCGTTGTCTGCACCACTCAAGGCGATTACGTCGGTGTTCTTGAGTTAAAGGGAGGACCCAGTGTGGCCGGTATGAAAACAAGCCAAAACTTCTCATTCGTCGGTAAACACTTCGCATGCCAATAGGTCTTCCGTGTTCTGCAAACCATTCATTTGCAATGGACCTGGTAGTGGAGAAACGGTCCCTTAAGGCCAATAATCTTAGGCGGCGATCTTCACGGTCTGTTGTTCTACGGCGGCGTCCAGTGCCCCTTGCTCTTTGCGTACGGCCTTCTCGAAGCCATGCCTGACAACACCTAACCACAGTGTCTACACTTCTTTGCACTCTAACTGCAATTGCCCGAAAAGAAAGTCCAGCTTCCCGAAGTCCCACTATACGGCCCCTATCAAACTCACTAAGTTGACGAAATCGTACAGGTCTCCGTACTCTAGGCATCGTAACCGATCGTAAAGGATGTCAAGAACCAAAATCCGCCAACGTTGATTCTTTACTGCGGCTGAAATATTCATTTTTAGAGCGTTAATGAATCAAAAAAAAGCAGTATAAAAACCGGAATGTCCAACTGATAAGGCTGAACATCTTTTCACTTGTTATTTACAGTAAGATAAATAACGTACATTCACCAACTTTTATTAAAGTAAAACCATTTAAACTGGGTGTTCGGATTTATATGTCACTTAGTATATATTGATAACTTTCCCAAAAGAACGCGGCCAGGTAAGTCCTTTTTTGCTAGAGTTGGCTCGAAATTTAGATGAATATGCTTCATTAAAAAATACTGGTCTAATATGTGATGCTAGAGGAAATTCCCAGAATATTAGCAACATTGTTGATGTAAAAAGTCTAAAGTCCATGTCTTTTTGCAGAGTCAACCTTCTTGAGGTTATGTTTGAAAATAATAATGAACGCCCACCGGTATCCATGTCTTCCGAAGCGTACAAGTATCGCTATATTTCATCCGCCATAAAGATATAGAGATCAGATCGGAGAAAAGGTCGATCATATAATATCGTCAAATAAACGTATCAAATCGAAATTGGAGTAGCGAATATATCGTCTAATAAAAGAGGGAAATCACGAAGCCAGATGGAACGCGCGAAATTGACGGTTGATCCCGACGGGACGCCCACATCGGCATCGGACACAGGAAACGTCGTATTCCCACCAAATAAGAAATTATTAGGGTTGACACATGTACAAAAAATTAGACTTGTTATATTAGCAGAGATTACATCCGGTTGGGTATTGCTTTAGCTTTTCAAAGCAGCTGGGGGCTCAGAGGTGCAGATCCAGTCACTTAATAAGATGCTTCTTGTAAGGATGATTATTAGATAGTCCTTATGTCCCTTCACCAGTGTCGAAATTTTGGCGACTGCAGTAGGTAATTCCTCACCAAATATCGTAGGCATGCCTCATGCTCCACCCTTCTGGCAAAGTTGTGTATAGCCTTAAGCCCCAGCTGCTCAGCATTCCTGGAATCCAAAGAGTAGGATCCTCGACCACCACCATCACACGTAAGTACCGCCTCATCGTGCTATGGCCAGACAGCAATCCCACCAACAGCTTGACTCTATCCAAAATTAAGCAAAATCGTCTTTCTTTGGCACTGATCCCTAAGATGAGCTCCCGTGACTGACAGAGATGTCTGGAGATGCTTCTCCATTTCAGAGAGCGTTGTCTAGCAATGCACTTTTCCGTTATCTTGCTGATTCTTTACACGGACACCTGGTCCAACAAGCTTGCCCGCGTGCCTCGGTACCCACACTATCGATACCGGATGTCTCGCTGCTAAACTAAGCCCTCCTGCATTGCAATACAAGGATTTTTTCAGGCACTTAGTGCCTTTACAAACAAATCTGTTAAATAGGCGATGTCTGTTTTCCTCTTCATTAAATTTAAAATTTTATCTGTAGTATCCAGAAATTCTAAAATAGTCTCAAAAAGTGCAAAAAATCTTGTCAATCACAAGCCTTTCGACAGCCAGCGTACTTCAGTGTGAAGGAGTAATTGATGAAAGTGTTCATCATTTTCTTCACACAACTGCGCAAATAACCGCGTATTCAACGCGTTGCTTCGGATTCGGTTTACTGCATCAATGACTAAATGAAGTGATTCATGCAATCTAACACTCAAATTTTTAGCAACTAAATGTTGTGGATGGATGACGCAATGTATTGCTAACACCCCTGACACATTTTGTTTTAAATAGCTTATAAATCCACGATAACGTCCAACCATGGCAGGTGCTCCATCTGTAGCTACTGATATTATATTTGATAAAGGAATTGCTTTTTCAATGAAGTAATCCTTCAAAACATGAAATATTGATTCACCTTTAGTGTCGGTTATCAAAGTTCTTGCGAAGAGCAGTTCTCCGTAGATTTCTTGATTCATAATAAAACAAACATATGCCAATAATAATGCTGCATTATTAGGTAAAGTTGACTCGTCAAGTTGTATAGAGAAATGGGTCGTTTGCAAATAATTACATAAGAAGCTTTCAATATCAGAACTCATTTCATCAATACGTCTTTCAACAGTATTGTTGCTTAAGGGAATTCTTTTAATGATATCAGATGCAGGTTTGTGTAAAACAGTTTTTAAAACCTCTTCAACGGCTGGCAAAATTAACTTCTCTCCGATAGTATGCGGTTTTCCGGATTTTGCTATAAGTAACGAGATATTGTAAGACGCCCGCAAACCATCATCATTTCTTTGTGACGTCGAAGCGAACATTCTGTCCAGTGTAGGTCTCTTCTGAAATTTATCTTTGAGTGTTTGAAAGTATTTCAAATGTTTCTCTGTTTTATCAGGGTGGCTTCTTCTCAGATGATCTTGCAGTTTAGATGGTTTCATAGGGTCGTTGCCCAAAACTTTGTTGCATAAAAGGCACATAGGCGATTGTTTGTCCGGCAATGATGGAATGAAGCCAAATTTCAAATAATCAACACTGTACTGTCTACATTTCTTTTTAGATTCGGACATGGCATCAGTCATCTGTGGGCACAATTAAATTATTTAAATAAGACAGAAAATCCAGCAGCTGTATAATAAAAAATATTTTTTGATTTTTTCGAAAACATTCCATAATCGAACATCTTTTTGCAACAATTAGCTCGAATTACGGAGCTTGCACTGTAATTATATTACCGATTGCTAAGACTTACAAAAAGAAACTATTGAGGAGTACTCGTGTAATTTTGCATGATTGAATATTTAACTACTAATAACTAAAGTCATGATTGGCGTAATTTATCTATCTTTGCTAACTACGAGTACAAAACTAAAATTTAATAAAAAGTAATGTACTTACTTTTCTCCAGCACTCTCAAACAAAATAGCACTGATTCACTATAATTTGTGTGATATACTATCTGTTTATATTTTTTAAAATATTTTCTCAGCACTTTCCTTTTCAAGATTCAGGAAACGAATAAACGTATTTGTCCCACATTCGTATTTATAGAGTGACGAATTGAACAAGTCAGTGCAAGGTAGCGAAGCTCTGAGACTGCGACTCTCAGGTTTTTACAAGTTCAAAATGTATTGCGACCACAAAGCGAATACCAACATCCTACAACTTCCACAATTTTATAAACATATATAAATTTTTTACTTCATAGGTACTTTTATAAATAATGTATATGTTTTGATATTATAAGATAGTATGATGTAAGTAAATAGGTCGTATCAGTGTATGTGTTGAGATCCACTATCGTATCGTATGGGGGTCATATTCATTTCATGGACCCCCAAATTTTTTTTCGCTGACGTAGACCCCTTGCAGGTTGTCATAAACCCCTAGGGGTCGATATAGACCACTTTGGGAATCAATGTTCTAGACCCAAAGACCCCGGCGCCGGAGCCCTGTTCAGAAACCAAGCCGTCCGTGTCACCGTCTTTCCCCACTTCGGCGACCTTCCGTAGAAAAGAAACAGCGCGGGAGTAATATAATAGCAGAAAAGTAGAACCCACTGAATCGATAAATACTGCCTCGATGATAGCGACTCTCCTGAAGGCACTTAGATCTCCACATCCTTATGTTAATGCAATCTCTCTGTGACGCGGCGTCCCAAAAACGGCTCTTAGATATTCCGATCATACCGGAAGTGACGGCGTTGATCCAGAAACCAATATTCCGCCGAGTATAAAAGCCAACACGTTCTTATGTAAACATCGTCGCACCGAGATCCTCCGCGCATTTCGAAGAATAAAATTTGGAGTAAATGCAATTGTATTCTAAATGCCACTACACGGCAAGCCTCCGAGCGAGACAGTATTTTTCTCTTAGTCGCCGTGTCTTCGGTGTCCTTTTTCTTGTGGAAATACGGAGACGAGATGACGTGGCGTGTCGTTGCGCGACAAACTCGCGCCAGAGGCGCCGGCAAACCTGAAGAGTGAAAGGGTGAGCTTTGAACATTTAAAGTGTATCTAACGAAGCTACAAAGTAATCGTAAACAGTGGTTGATTCATGATCAACGCGTGATCGGTAGCCATGGCGCTCTGTCGGCCTCTTCCTGATTGGCTTGTAGCGACGAGCCTCCAGACAAAGTCGCATGGATCACAAATCAATCTGTTGGTGCAATACGTGCAATAACTGTTGTAAAGGACATTATATAACAATAAATGGCATTACAAAGGTATATTCCAATTTGATCTGCAGCAAATTATGAACGGCATATACGGAGATGCGAAAACAAGCTCAAAAAGGTGAAGAAAATTTTTGTGCAATCTTTATAGTTAAATTTTTCCTAAGAGATAGCATCAGTGAGGGAATTTTTTTCTATTGTCTTATTTTTCACATTAATGCGATGTTGAGGTATGTGGCCCTATCGCAATTGAAAATAAGGTTTCGATAATCCTTCCATAAAGTTTCGATGAGTACATCTGAAATAACCTTGAGATATTCTTCAGGGAAATACAAAAATCTTCTTTTGTGTTTTTGTGCAGATTTATCTATTAAAATCCTATCCGCAATCTATTTTCCGTGCACACACCTTCAACCGAATGTATGCCATATATGATATTACCGTTTCCAACTTTCACCAAGGTTAATAGGAACCATAACAGCTCCCTACCCTTCCCCCCTATAAGAATATCGATTTGTAGCCTCACATTTCAAGGTTAGACTTCTTGTAATGTTTCTGTTCAACATTCGGCGATTTCTGACAATTTTCCCAATAAAACATGATCATTGTGACATTAAGCCTGGCAACGCTACATAGTAGAGGGAACTCTCAGCGTCACGTTGATGGTTCGTCACCATGCACAGGATTGTAATCAGTTACGGATACCCGTTTATGAGCGCGAACGTTTTATGCACGTCTTGACTTGATTTTTCTTGCGGAAATTTAATATTAGTCTAAAATGTCTGACACAGATACAGCTGATGAAGTGGTTGAAATTAGCTTAACGTCACCCAGAAAAAGGGCTAAAAAGCTTAATCTTAGCGCAGGTGAAAAACAAATTATTCTAAATATCTACAAGAATCAGATGCAAGAGAATAGTGGATTGGCTATAGAAAATATCGTATGTAAGGTTGCTGAAATTTCTGAAGTAGGTCGATCAAGTGTTTGCAAAATCTTGAAGGAATATAGACAAAATCACTCACTATCTGAGCCAAAAACATATCCAGCGAGAAGAAAAACATCGAAAAAATAGATGACTTTGACAAATGTGCCATTAGAAGAAAAGTACATCACTTTTTCTTCAGGAATGAAATACCTACAATAGATAAAATATTGAAGCAAGTGAATGATGATGAGGACCTGCCAAATTTTAAAAGATCTACGTTCCATAAGTTGTTGAAAGAACTAGACTTTCGATTTTTGAAAAGAGGAAGGAATAGTTTATTGATAGAAAAGGAGGAAATTGTTATCTGGAGGAGAGAATACCTTAGAAAAATTAGGCAATTCCGCGCTGAAGGAAGAAAAATGTATTATTTAGACGAAACATGGGTGAACGCGGGGCATACGCAGGGAAAGGTTTGGGTAGACAGATCTGTGAGGTCCTCAAGGCAGGCTTTTTTAGATGGCCTTTCGACGGGATTGAAAAATCCTTCAGGTAAGTTTCGAAGTATATTAACTTTTTTGGATGCAGATAATTCATTTTCTGATCGAATCAATGATTTGGAAGCTCCGAACTCAGTTTTGCTATCTCATCCAAGTTTCTGAGTATTTCCTTCACCCAAAAACTAATCTAAGACCCTATCCTACACTAACCTAAAAAGAGTAAGTTGCTTAATTTCGTCATTTAGTGCGCTCGCTGAGAAGTAAAATAACTAATTACTTTCAGGCCACATAGGTAGCGTAGATGGATTTGTTCCTGAAGCATTGTGGGCATTTGAATCCAAAAAAACTGGAGACTATCACGAAGAAATGGATGGTAACTCATTTGAAAATTGGTTCAAAAAAATTTTGCCGACACTTGATAACGCAATTATTGTGATGGATAATGCCCCGTACCACTCCAGAAAATTGGAAAAAATTCCAACAATGGCCACCAAAAAGGCAGACATTCAACAGTGGCTTGTCTCAAGGAAGATCGACTTCGACCAAAGAATGGTCAAAGCTGAGCTGATAAATATAGCCAAGCGACATAAGTATAAATATGATTTAAAAATTGTTGACGAAATGGCCAAAAACCAAAATAAAACGATTCTCAGGCTGCCTTCCTATCACTGCGAACTGAATCCTATCGAGTTGATTTGGGCCGACATCAAGCAATACGTGGCGTCAAATAACAGCACTTTTAAGTTTTCTGACCTTAAAAAACTGTTTGATGTTGCTGTCGATAGAATTACGCCAGCAAAATGGAGAACATGTATTGACCATGTCCAAGAGAAGGTTGAAACCAAAATGTGGGATATGGTCGATATCATTGACTCCCAAGTTGAACTCCTTATAATTGACATCAACAATTCTGATGATTCAAGCTCCTCGGAATACAGCATATAAATCGATTGATACCATTAAGACTGGCAGTTTAACGGGCTTTTTGGCAAGACAGGTAAGTTCATTATAGACTGCAATCAAAGTGTAAGTTTCTAGTTATTAATGTGGAAATTCCAAATTTATAATTACACAAAATTAGGGTTAATTTAGGAGTTCCAAAGCATAATAGTGCCATTTTGACCTTCTTCCTATTTCTCATGTAAATTTTAATAGCAATCAAACTAACAAACTTCATGGAGTCTGTAATAAACTTTTGTACTACTACTACTACGTCTGTAGTTTCTATTTGCTCAAAAAAATTTGCTCTGCATTGTGAATAGAAGGTTGATTTGTAAATATTATTGGGTATATATGTAAGTTAATAATAAAATATGAACAATTTCAATTGAGATGGTCCACAAGTTTTTTTCGTGTGCGTTTTAGTAACATTTTGCTGAAATGGTGAATACAGAATTTTTTGCACTGATTCCTAAGGTCGAAATATGATTAGAAAGGCGTGGTATATTCCTGATAATTTACTATGCTTTTGATAGAATTTACAGCAACACATATCTTGTACGACATTTTTTGATAGATCAGTCACAATAGCTTGATACGGCCCTGTAGCGTCTCCTACGGTTAAGTTCTTGATCACGTGCAATACGGGTGTATATGTTTGATTTTACTTTGTTTCTTCGATGGATACAGTTTAAGATAGGTTGTGGCCGCCGAAACGTTACACGAGAGCACCGGAAATAGCACCAAGTTACGTTCAGTTCTTTAAGATCGACGGAAATTATAAAAAATTATGAG